CAAACCGCCACCACCAATCATGTGCAAGACACGGTATTCTTTCTGTTTCCTCCCAGGCACCTCCTCGGTATGTCAAACTCCTCCCCTCCCCTCCCCTCTCTACTCGTCTTCTGCTCTGCACACTTCTCCCATTTCCTTGGTCTTCCATCCTGTCTACGTTGTGAAAGGAAAGTGGTGCGGAAGCTTTAGAAACTGGAGTAGCTTGGTGAGAGCACTGGGAGGGTAATTGGCTGTAGCCATACCTGATCTCAGCGAAGCCCAGCATTGGAGTTTATTGGCAGTGATTGTCAGGTTGTGGTCCTTGGAGACCTTCCACTTCTCGCTTTCCGAAAGTGTCCATTGAATAAGACGGCTGGAAGTTTTGGGATGGCAAGCCAGGTAAAGGGGAATGATAATGGTGACGAGTGTTGTTTTCTAGTGCCTTTCTCTTGACCCCTTGGGAAGCACTCATTTCTAGTCCCATTGAATGTACGTAATATTGATTCATTGATTGCAATTGATTAGCATTCTCAAGTTTCAAACTATGTATCATTCTATCTCATTCATTCTTTATTCATCTTCTTCCTTCCTCGGATTCTTGAGGAATGTGTTCAGGTGTGTGGAATAGAGACGAACCTCATTCCTATTCTTTAATCAGTGAGTAAGGCAATCGAGCTGAAACACGACATCTTGACCCGCGGATAATAATAGTGACAATCCCAGACGTAGCCACTCTATCGTAGTATCACTTCTACAACGGTCACCATGCGTATCGAAGAGGAATAGAGATGAACGCCGTTCGTATTCTTTAATCAGCAAGTAAGGCAATCGAGCTGGACAGTGATCTCTGCAAGTTCTACAGCTGCTCATGCGGTTAGCTGGTTCAGAGGCACCACCGTAGTCATGCTAGTAATGCATTCTAGTTTTCTCATCATAAGCCTCTCTCTGTCTGGTGGTCAAACAATGTTAGAGACTCGAAGCAAAGCAACTGTTCGGTGTTCGCAAGCCACCCTGGCGTAAAGCCGCGCGGGGGCCTTCGTTTCTTCCTTTCTTTTCTGATTTTGGACGTTCTCTCTTGGATCTTCGTGATGAAGTGCATTGCTTACCCGCATGACTATATACACTCCACATGGATAGCATAGATTCTTCTGTTGTTGGCTTTTTTCTTTTTCCCGACCATTTCTCACTTTATGTGCGTCATCCTTGAAAGCGCAGGGGTCATGCTAATCTTCCTTCTCTGTATCGTTCCAATTTTAGAGGTTGTGATGTCCTGAAGGACAGGATAGCATAGCTCCTTCGTTTTCTGAAACAGAGAATTTACAAACTTCAGATTTGCAAGCAGCTTTTAGCGAAGGAGTGCTGGCAAAGCTGGTGTGGACATTGTCCTGCTCTTTGTGGCGATTTGCAGTGCTTCTCAGTGCGGGCGCTTGCACTGAACGTGGATCATTTCTTTGACTGTCACTTTCTGAAACATGTGAGTGATTGAGATTCGCGAGCACGTGTGAGCAAAGTAGAGGTAGCAAAGCTGGTGTGGACGTTCTCTTGCTCTTCATATGATGATTTGTGTTACTTTGCTGTGGTGGCGAAGCTGGTGTACACGTTCTCTTGCTCTTCTTCATTCTGATTTACATTACTTCGTTGCATGGTTACCTTCACTTAACATGGAATGGATGGCTTCTCTGTTCGTCATTGTCAATTTCTGACGCGCTACTCCGTTGCATGGTCACTTTCAGATTTGCAAGCCTCTGTGAGCGAAGGAGTGGTAGCGAAGCTGGTGACCGTGCCACAGTCCGACCGTTTGCTTGCTTACACAATGAAGCATTCTCAAATGGATCAGGTTCCGGCAATGCTACAGACAACTGCAGCTGTGCACTCTGGTGGCAGCGGAGGAGCTGTTGTTGATGGCAGTGGCAAGATGATTGGCCTCGTTACAAGGTTCGAGGTTTGGGGGATAAGGGGGAAAGGGGCAAGAACCTTTTCTCTGTTAAATTGTGAAAGTATGATATTGTGAAATATTCAATTAAATTGTTGAATTATTAAATGGTTTTATTAAATTCAAAATAAATTAATAGAATATATATTGTTATATTTAAGCTAGGAAGATTTTCATGATCGGCCGGTCACCCGGGCATGACGCCCGGGGGGGTCTGACACCCAGGATACCCGGTCATGGCAAAAAAAAAATAAAAAATTGGCGGTGGCCCGGTGGGGGTTTTCCGCGCTCTCCGAGAGGAGCCCAAATCCGGGCTCTTTTCTTTTTTTGAGTGTTGGCTGTCAAGGGGGGGAAAGGGGAGTATAAATGAATTTTAAAGGGGCTAAAGGGGTTTAAAGGGGGGTGCCTTAGTGTGATTTGGGTATTTTCTTTTTTATCTTTAGTTCCGTGAGGAATTCTGATGTGACCCTCAGCCAAAGTTGTTTGTATTGCAATTCTACAC